CATGCTCTTCAAAATATTAGTTAGAGTATAGAGCACATAGTCTGGTAGGTTAGTAGAGGTTTCATAGGGGTACATAGCTTACAGTATGCCAGGTCTGTAAGGGTATTGGTAGAGGTATGCAGTTAACAGTAAGCCAGATATAGGCCAGATTTGTAGGGGGTTTTGTAAGGGTATAGTAGCCACGGTATGCAGTGTATTAGCTAGGTTTATTGGTAGAGGTATATAGCTTGCAGGATGCCGGGTCTAGCTTTAGTCTACAGGGGTATTAGTAGAGGTACTCCCAATGAACTGGATCTACCAATGGCACCGGATCTGGCAATCCGCCTCTGTACCTCTACATTTCTCATATTTCGACCGCGCAAAAAGACTGTAGGTGCTTGAATATATCTGAAGTACACTGGGATTGAAGAAAAGGCATAACTGGGCGAGCGTGGGAAAGCGTAAATCCCATCAATGTCCGGCAATTTGGCCGTGAACAACGCACCGACGCCTCCCCTACCCCAACCTTCCGCCAAAAAGATTTGATCAAGCAGACATAGGTGCGGAAGACACCAGGCTACCATCTGGTGAAAGAAGTAAAGAAGAAAACGGGATAGTGAGGGAGTAGGACAGTAATTTCAATGTGTCGGCAGATCTGGCTCATTGGGAGTATGTGGCTCCTAGTATGTCATGTTTGTGAGGGTATTGGTAGGAGCATACAGTGTGTAGTATACCGGATTTACTCTGAGCCTATAAGAGTTTGGGTTGGGAGTGTTTAGCTTACAGTATGCCAGGTATTGGCCAGGTAGGTAGGGGTATTGGTACAGGTACACTGCCCACAGTATACCAGCCACCGGCCGAGTCTGTAGGGGTTTTGGTTGAAGTATGAGGCCTACAGACTCATAAGTCTGTCTTGGACTTGTGGCAGCTTTGGTAGGGGTATACAGCTTACAGTGTGCTGAGGCTACCGAGGTTCCATAGGCAAATTAGACAGAGTATACAGCTTACAGTATGCTGAGTATTGGCTGGGTCTGTACATAGTTCAATAGGAGTATGCTGCCTACAGGATTCTAGGTACTGTAGTTTTTCGACCAGAAGTTTGTAACACATAACACACCATGAAGTTCCAAATCAATCCCGGGTTCGGTAACAGGTAATGTACCCTGTTGTGAACCTATTTGTGTTACCCGGTGCTCAGGCCAGAGACACTGACGAGGCTTATTTACGTTTGTTGCCCTTTTTACAGAGTTAAATAAGTTCACAGTAATGGTTGTCAGGCCATGATGAACGTCATTCAGCTGGACTTATGGACTGGATCTCAAATACTGTATAGATTTGACCTTAAGTTCAGGCTGTTTGAGCGTTACGCGTTACGCGGTCCTAAGTTCATTCGGAAAGAGGTTCACTGACTGCCGTGATATGTTACTGTAGTTTGGCCTGGGCCAACCAACCTGTGGGAAAGCCTTGCTACAGCTATGTTTTAGAGCTTTGGAATGACTAGAGTTCTTTGCGAGCAAGTTGGCAGAATTAACCTTGCCGCTGATGTACGTGACATCTACAAGACCTCACGAAATGACCTCATGAATATAATGATACTGGATATCAATGTGCTTTGAGTGTTTCTCAGTAATGGAGTTAGACGTGATGAATACAGCACCTTGGCAGTCACTTGAGATCTCGATTGCTCCAAGATCATAACTGATCTCACCAAAGAGCTGGTGAATCTACGCTACTTGACACAAGCAATTGCTCAACACCATGTACTCAGCCTCCGTAGAGGAGTGCACAACTGTTTTCTGTGTGTGTGAAACCCAGAAGAATGAAGCACAAGCAAGTGATGGGAAATATCCAGTCTGCGATTGCTGGTGGCTTGGGTCAGAAGCCCAATCTGAGTTGGTCATAGCAAAAACACCTTCACCCAATCTGCTGTCAAATACAAGACAATAATCCTTAGTGCCAACTAGATAGCAGCAAACATGGAGAGCTTTGTCAAGATGCTCGTCAGACGAGTTCGCAGCTTGTTGCGACAGTTTTGTGATGGTGAATGCAATATCAGGGTGTGTACCCAGCATGAAGTGCATTGGTGAACCATTGACAGTCTAGAACCGGTGCCATAGAACTTTGTCTACTGGATCCTCATTTGGCAATGGGTAATATCTAGAGGGAAGAGGAGTGGCGACAGGTCGAGCGTTAGTGAGTCCAACACGGTCAAGCATCTTCTCGAGGTAAGCAACTTGGTCTATCATGACCACATATGCCTGCCGAGTGATGCGCATGCATAAGAATTCCTTCACATCGCCAAGATCTCTACATTTCCATTTTTCGGCAAATGCATTCTTGAGCTGTTCTCCGAGTTTGTGGTCAACGCTGCAGAATAAGGCATTGTCGACGTAGACTATGGCAATACAAATCAAGCCTGTCTTTGCGTCGGTGTAGATGTAGATTCCTTCATCGGAGTGCAGGCGTTTAAAGCCCAGCTTCTCCATGGATTTGGTCATGGTTTTCCACCATTTGAGTCCAGCCTGTTTTAGACCATAGAGAGCATGTCTCAGTCGAATGACGAGATGCTCCTTGCCAGGGATTTTAAACCCTTGTGGCTGCTCCATGTAGATCTCCTCGTTGAGTTCAGCATACAAGTAAGCGTTGCAAACATTAAGACCTAGGATATGCATGTTTTTGAGTGTGCAAAGCCCGAGGATGAGTCTTAGAGACTCGAATCGCACAATGGGTGAAAAGACTTGGTCAAAGTCGATACCTTCGATCTGAGAGAAGCTCTTGATGACAAGTCGCGCCTTTATACAACCGTCGGGCTTTTCATCCAACACCCACCGGTTGAGAATAACACGGCGGTTCGTTGGTCTGTGGACGTACTCAAAAGTGCCGCGCTTGCGATGAGCTTCCATTTCATCATGCGTAGCGGCCTTGATCTTCTCCTGAGCTACCTTAGGCAGCTTCTGTACATCCCGCCACATCAATTCATGATAGTTCTTGACGTTGGTGGGCTGTGCATCGTCTGGAATTGCCTTAGCGACTAGCTAATTCATCAGCTTTACTCCCCCTTCCCGACATAGTTGTGCCAGGTAAACCTCATCAGCCTTTGGATCCTCGACAGAGTCGCGAGAAGGAGGTAGCGCAGGACTAGATTTGGGAATCTGTCCTGTGCGCTTAGGCATTCTTGGAGCTTGGGCGCCTGGCTTGGGCATTGGCTCATTGTCTCCAGAAGCTTTCCTCCATTCTGTGTTGGTGTCACATTGGGTATGGGTGGGCGGGGTGTCCCCATATATACTCCCAGGCCGTTTGGTTTGTGTCCGCTGCCGCTTTCCACGTCTCAGATGAGGTTCTTCCTCTACTGGTGGAGGCGTGGGTTCCCTAAGCGGTGGTGGCGGGCTCGGACTACTCCGTCTTGACAAAGTACATGACTGAGTTTGCAAGTTCTGACCGTCGTCTGAACATCCGGCCTCCTTTGGGAAGGTTTGTTGGGAGGATGTGACAGAAAATCATCGTCATCATCGTCAACCAGTGGTGGAGAAGAGTCTTTCGAAGACTTCTTCCACTTTGGGACTGGAAATGAGGCTGGCAAAGAATGCCGAGCCATCTGCTCCTTATCACGAGGAAACAGCTCCTTGTCAAAGATTGCCTGAGTGGATGTGAAGAGCACATTATTGGGGACACGCATAAACAACCAATTATTAAGGTTGCCGGGAGCAATACCTAAGTAGATCATCAACTCCACTTTTGGTGACTGGGTGTTTTTGCATATTTCCTTAGGGATGTATACGTATGCACCGCAGCCAAAGACCCGCAGCTTATCTATGCGTGGAGCCTCACCAAAAAGCATCTTGAACGGCGTCAACCATTTAAGGCGGCGTACAGGCGTCCTATTGTAAAGATGGACGGTGTGCTGGTTAGAAAATTCCCACCAAGAAGGAGGGCAACTAGCTTGAAATCGCAGAGCCTCCCCCTTTTCTGACATAGTGCGGATAAACCGCTCTGCACAACCGTTCTATTGGTGAGCGTGCGGAGCACCAGCAATCACCTCAATGCCCTTGTCATGGAGCATCTGCAAGAACTTGTTCGCTGCAAGGTTGAAGTTCCCAATCAGTTAGCCTCCTTGATCGGAGCACCAGCTTTGCACTTTGGCCTTGAATTTACTCTCGACCATAGCACGGAAGTCTTTGGCGGCGTTAAGCGTGTCTGACTTCTTCTTCAGGAGTGTAACCCATGCATAGGACATATGGTTGTCAATAAAGTCTACGGTGTACTTGAACTTGGCGTACGACAGGGTTGAGAACTCTTTCAAGTCGGAATGAATGAGGTCGAATGTGTTGTCAATGCGCTCTTTGCGGGCAGGAAATTCACGCGCAGGTATTTTACCCTTTGCGCATCCACTGCACACTGGGTTGTTGTCTGAGATGTTTATGTCCTCAGGGAAGCCAACAGTATTCTTGTGCATTTGATGTAGAACATCGCACACAGTATGTTCCATGTGGCAGTGCATGGTTTCATAGTCCAATGCATAGACCAGCTCATATTGAATGCTCTTAGCATAAGCAGATAAGGCGGGTAGAATGTAGCAATTTGGCCTAATAGGATCTACATCAAAGTGCAAGTAGATCTTCCCATCGTGTATAGACCATATCTGGATGGCATTACCCTCAACAGTCATGCCTTGGTGCAGGAATTGACCGAGGGATAGTAGACGATCTGCGAGTCCTGGAACATGTCCAACCGGACCAATGGGGACGGTCATAGAACGACCTTGAGAGTCCTGCGTAAAGAGCAAGATGGTACCCCATGCAATGATAGAGGAGTGACCACCATTTGCAGTTGTAAGTGTGCGCGGCTCATGAATCTTTATGTAGTTAATGAAGCCACTGGCATTAGGCGTGAAGTGTGATGTGCAACCTGAGTCTAATAACCACGAGTCGGAATGTGCATTGTTGTGTGCATGTGCAGCTTTGTCTTTTCTTTTGCAAGAAGTACAAGCACTATATTCCAAAATATATGTACACAGGTATGCAGTCAAGTCCGAATCATTACAACCATATATGAAGCTATTGGGTGCCCTATGCACCGCTTCCAAATCAACAGATGCGATAGAATCAGTAAATGCTGCAGTTGTAGCGTAAGCTTGGTTGCAAAGAAAAGTGGGAATGACATACGCATTGCCTTTGCCCTTGCGGGACTAGAAGCCCGCAGACTGTGTGATCTTGTCGTCCAAGTCCATCTCCTCGCTAAAGGATGTTCCATCGGGCATGTAGCCTTCGATGAACTCTTCTTTGATGAAGTCTTTGTCCTCGAAGCATTGAAGGAGGATAGGTGTAGTGCGGCGGCACTTGTTGGTGCGCGTATCCTCAATCTCTTCGTCGTTGTGGTCCTCAGTGCCGTAGAGTTCCTTGTTGAACAGGATATCATATACATCTGTAGTAACCTCACAGATGGATGCCTCAGGATGATCGATAGCACCATCTGGGATGCAAAGAGTCTCAGCGGTCCCAGAGACACCGAGTCGCTCTGCGAGCTTGACGGTCTTAGAGAGGATAGAATAGAAGTGGTCTTCAAGGGCTTGTAAAGCGGTCCAGAAGAATACACACTCTTGAGAGAAAGACAAGGCTACTTAGGGTTCTTTGTGGTGTTGAAGACACACACAGCTCCGGGATGGTGTCCAGGTGAGCCATATAGCTAAGGAAGTGATTGTCTTGAGACTCATTAGTCTTGCGTGAGTTTTTATTGTTGCCGAAGCCACCATAACCGCGGCCATGTCCACGACCGCGAGTGTGCTGCTTGGTGTTGTCCTCATTGTGCATGTCGGAGTCATGGCTTGACAGCTGCTGCTACGAGCATTGTTGCGACAGACGGCAGTAATCTTCTGCGTGCCGTTAGAGTGCAAAGCCTCAGGTGCACCATACTAAGCATAGTATGTGTTCATGGTACAAGACTTAATCTCATCAGCACTCATGTTGCTGAGCTTCTTGTCCTGTGAGAGCTGCTGGACAAACTTAATGTATGAAGGAAGCTTGGAGAGCAAGGCCATGGTGTGAGGTTTCATAACCCATCAAGCATAGCATACACACAGTGGTACAAGCTAACACAGACTTACTTGGATAGATGGATACAGTGGTAACTAGGTGGAAGTTGGAAGCAAGTGACCTTTATTGTAGCATTGGAGAGACAGCAGATATATATGTAGAGGAGGTGGAAGCCTAGCATGATAGTATATAGAATACAGATAAGCCTCTAGTAGGGCTGGAGGTACCGAGAAAGGAGACAAGAAATAATCATATGTTCAACATGCAATAGAGCATGTGCTTGCTTTACTGAACAAACTGCTTAATAGGGCATATAAAGGATGGTTGGTAAACCTATGTAGGCTTAGATTGAGTAGTAAAAATATCATGATAACACAATCTCCAAGAGTAGAAAAAAGTCAGGGATGACTCGTTCCTGCCAGCTGGGTGGCCTACTTCTACGAGTGATGAACATGGCATGGTTTTTCTTATCTGTGTTTCACAAGCGGTCACAGTAGAAAGCGGGGGTTTTGGCCTCCAGTGGAGCCCAAGCCAGGCCAGAGTCCTGCTGGAGATATCAGCCTATACAGCCATAGAGATGGTGCGAATACGAACGACGACGGCATGCGCCCAATGCACTTGGTCCTTGAGTTTTTTGGAAGATGCAAGATAGTGCATGTGTCAGAACACATCTGTTACCTGGGTCGTCCTGATATTATTTTGTATCTATCCAGGTTATGTGAATGCTTGGATTCAGATACACAAGTGGATGAGTCAGAGATGACCCGTAATCTAACTTCGCAATTTGGGCGCATCCTTATTCCTCCTGGGTATACTCATTGAGCGCGACCGTCCTAGTCACATGCTGACCATCTCCCAGTGCTAGTATATGCTTGACATGCTTGTGCACTATAATATAGACATGTGTGACACTGACTAGATGCCTATAAACCCCTCTCTGTGTATCTCCAAGGTGTAGGGCCTGCAGACCACTGAGGAAATCAAAGCCATGTGCTCAATTCCCTATACTGATGCTATGGGCTTTTTTCTGTACCTTGCACGCAGCACATGGCCGGATATTGCCTATTCTGTCACATTCCTATCCTGCTTTGTGGCCAACCCAGGTTGTGGGCACTGGCAGGCTGTCAAGCATCTCTTCCACTACCTACAGGGCACCAAGGACTTGTGTCTGGTGTACAGGGGTGACCAGTTTAATACCCAGGACCTGTTCCACACATTCACAGACTCTGTGTCTAGTGACAGCATCAACACAGGTCATTCTACAAGCGGCTACCTCCTCACTATTGTTGGTGGCACTGTTTGCTGGTCCTCTCACCTCCAGTCACTTGTGGTGCAGTCCACGACTGAAGCGGAGTACATTGCAGCTGTAGACGTGGACAGGGAGGCTGTCTGGATGCAGAGCCTGCTCTCTGAGCTCAGGTATACCTTAGCTTGTCCCACTGTGCACATGGACAACTAGAGCACAATTAGTGTGGCCAAAAACCTGGAGCACTATGGGTGGATGAAGCACCTGGATTTGTGGTTCTTCTGGCTCAGAGATCAGGTTAAGGCTAAGATGCTCGCTACCAAGTTTGTGGGCACTGAGAACATGCTAGTGGACATCCTGACTAAGGCCCTAGATGTTGCACGGGTTGAGCGCTGCTGGACACCCCTGAGCTTGGAATAGGAGGGTGTTTCTTTGCAGAGGTGGCTCATCAAGACGGTGTGTTGAGTTCTGGCTCTCTATTCTGATTTTCTTTGTTTCGTGTCTATGATTCGCTATGTCCTACTTCTCGGACGGACTCATACTATACATCATTTTACTCACCATCCTCCAAAACCCTCTATTTTTACCGGATTTATGGGCTTACTTTACGGCTCCTGACTCCCTCCTGACTCATTGAGTCTGATTAGATTACTGTTACCATCTTGGCTCTTTCCGGTCCACTTCCCCTCACTCTGGCTTGGTTTTGTTTTGGAATTGCATAGCCCTTTCACGTGTTCTGTGCTTTTGGGCTCTATATCTGAGTACAAATGTAGTCATGAAATATCAAGTTGAGGGTCCATCAGAGTATTCAAAAGTGGGTCCATCTTTGTCCGATCTTATCAGTGCCCATCCCCCCACATCTCCTCCTATCACCAAATATCTGTTTTTCCCCCGATCTCCATGCCCTTGGCATTTTAGGCATGCTCTTTGTCACCACTGTCCAAGCACACCATGTGCTATCCCGGGGTTACACCGCACCAAGTCCGGATTGCCAGTGCCAGATGGCCAGCGGGGGTGTGGTCTGGGCCCCACGCTACCAGGGCCCAGAACACAAGGGGAGGAGTAGACCATCAAATCGGGCCATGCTAAGGCAGATTATGCTTTTGGTCTTACAAGGTGTTAGTCATGCAGGATAATGTGCAAGTATGATGCATGGAAGGCGGATGAAGTGTGATGGACTTACAAAGAATAGTAATAGCCGAGACCGGTAACCCGGGACATTAGCACCAACGGAAACTTGGGCTGAGTCGGCTAGGCAGAAAAACTTGTAGTGTCCAAGGTGTTGACCACGAGTGTTGGGGTGGGGGGTCAAACCCACGAGCAAGTCCGAGCATTCCCCCGGGATGCAATGGTTGCTACTGAGCCACCGCACCGCCCTCTGGCTCGGTTATTTCCGGTTCCTCATATGCAACTGTACAGTTTCACACACCTCACGTGCCTGTGACAAGCCTGCACACACTGAGCAAGCTCCCTTCTCTTTTTCCCCTCACTTGCTTATTCTCTGTGTGCTACAGAGTGTTATACTTTGTTCCTAGGCTGTGCATTCAACAAGAGGCAGGGGGCACTATACATGGCTTTCAACATTCACTTCTAGGTTGCCACAACATGCCAACATACTGGCTCGGAAATCCCAAAGTGCGACATAACCTTTGGACGTCCAGAATCTACAGAAGTCATGAAACACCACTCTATATTCCCAGATGAGTTGACTATCTACACTATCTAATGATCTTCTACTATGGAAGGGAGGTGGTTCAATAACAGCCCTGCTTGGCATGTTGTGCCGCAGAGAAGAGTGTAGTATAGATGTCTTGAGCTTTTATATGGGCCTGTAGAGGGTTTGATTGTGTCTCCACATAACCCTAGACATCTGCCAGAAGACTGGCATGGACCAATACTTTTGTGCATTTGTCACCACAGCTTCTATGGCAATGTAAAAGATGAGTCACTCTGACAAGACGGACAGGATAAACGGATAGGGGTTAATGAGAGCCCATCATGACATACCTTTGGAAGACTGAACAGCAAGTGCCTGCTTGCATTTGATGTTTAGGCAGAAGATGTATCTCCCACCACAATATTAATATATGGATGTGTATTGTTGAGAAGAGAATTTGGACTTGCAACCCTGAGACCAAAGAAGGCCTCAACTTATAAGGGCAATGTCACACGCACAACCGTTGACACCCACCATGATGACCTTGCCTTCACATAACCAACAGCCAAGAGCCATAAGGTCTCTCTGGCAGTCATGCATTCAAGAATCTCGGACCCGTCCCTCTTGCCAACGCGCCCCCACCTGTGCTTGTGTCAGACACTGCAACCACTATGCTCATTAACCCTCCCACAATGGGCACTTTCATTTTAACACTTCACCATACCGACACCTAAACAGCTGCCTGCACAGGCTGCTCTCGACCCAACCCCACTAGAGATGTCACATCCATGTAGGTTGGTGTGGGAGATCATTAAAAACATGCAGTCGCCCAGTGACCATTGAACCCTGTCAGCACATGTTTGACCTTTATATTATAATGCAGGCTATACTTTGCTAAACATGAGATTACCATGACATTCTGAGGGGTGTTAATGACCACTTAATGGATCATATGGATACCAATTAAATTTGTGCTGCCACCTCCACTACTGAGACTCAAAAGATAGAGGACTTGGTATCCACGACAATACAGACAATGGGTGAGATCAAGAAGATCCTCAAGGTAATTGTGGACAGCATTACTACAGGCCTCACTCAGATGAAGAAGGACATCACACTAAGTATGCTCGAGTATGTTGACAGTAAGTAGATTTCACATACCTCTATCTGTGACAGGTATTGAACACTACTCACTGAGCCCTGGAGACTTGTTTAGTACTGTTCTGTTTAGTAGTTTTGCAAAACGACCATGTCAATAACTGACAGTAGTTGAAATAGTCTTTCAATAAGGTCGTCAAACGGTAGTAGTGATCATTAGTATAGTACACTGTACTAGCTGAATGGTTATTCTAATAGTCATTCAGGTAGTTGTTCCGGTAGTCATACTGGTAGGAATTTAGTTGTTTATAGAGTCATTAGGGTAGTCATTCTGGGGATCATTTAGAATTTATCTGCAGAGCAAGAAAGGCGACCATGCCGATGGCCACACGGGCCACCAAGTCCAGAATCTAACACGTCAAGCTGCTGCTATAATGGAGAGATAACAGGACTCACAGTATCCTCCGCTAATGCAATAGCATCCATGACTCGGATGAACTGCTGGGCGATAACCTGAAGGTCAGGAAGCACCAAGACACTTTTGCCAAAGACCTCAAAGGTGGTCCCAGAGGTAACGGCATGGAAATTTCAATAGAATCCTGTCAGAGTCTCAATATTGGCAGCTATTACAATGTCATTAAGGCCCTTTCAACGCTAGTCCCAATGCAATGAGGTCCATTGCGTGCCCGTGAGCTGGACCAGAAGAGCGATTCGGTGTTACTTATTCGAGTACCTGATACATAGAAGAGATAGGGTATCGAGAGGAATGTGAATGGTGGGCAGCATAGTGGCTGGAGACAGAAGGCTGCTGTTGTTTCCATCGACAAAAGTGTCCTGCCTGTAGGAAGCTATGCGGCCTTGTCCCATGTCATGTCAGAGAAGAACACTACTCACCTTGTACCCTCACTTACTCACTCACCAAGAATACTAGGAAGGCAAATATGAAGATAGATAAAAAGTCAGGCAGACTGTGTCCTATGGGCAGCAAGCGCAATGAGGTGTCAGCACGAGCAACGCAGACCCCAGCACCTTTAGTCTTAGCAGTCCAAGAGCTGCCGGTGCTAACAGTAGCGGAAGCTCGGCAGGCCGACGCAGCGGCAACGCCAGCAGCCAGCCCTTCTTGGCAGCTGACTCTTGCTCAACCCCCACCCCTAGTGCCAGTGGTGCCTGACCCAGTTATTCAGGTTAAAGTCCAAATGGAGTACGACTACGTCAGGCATGAGCCAACACGTACTGTTTACTACTACGATGATGATGGTGTGGAGGTCCCTCAAGCGAAGAAACGCGGACCAGTGTGTGCATCTCATATCTTTCAGCATTCAGTTGTACTTATTGTGAGCTCAAAGTAGACCAGAGCATGTCCAGGAGTTTGTTGAGCACATTCTGCGGTGGGCATGGATTCTGATCCTGTGCCAATCGCGCCCAAAAGACGGATTCTGCCAACGCTACAAGAGGCCCTTACGGGGTACAGCAGATTGGCATTGCATAGAATGCTTTTGCGATCGGGATATGTGCATATCCTGCGTCCAAGAAGCTCACATCAACAACCCTTTCCACCGTGTCTACTGGTGGACAAGGAGATATTATTGTGGAACCTGACTTTGCGAAGCCAGTGTAGCCCAGCGGCACAAACAACAGGCACCACGCCCCAGAGACCTCAGCTGCTGCTGATGCTGCCGATGCTGTGCATGCTGATGGGGCCGAATCTCCTCCCCTCCCCCCTCCCCTGACCGTCTTCCCGCTCCCATGCTGGGATACCTCAGTTTGACCTATATAGGTTCCTGGTGCTGGCTCTTGTACATGAGAATGGTCTTCACGGACTCGGAGTAAACTATTGCAAGTGTGCATCAGGAAAACACCTCCCCCGTAACGGGAGGTTGTGGCGGCTCGTGC